AGAGAAGGAAGGTGGCGTCCTCTAGAAAATAGTTTCTACTTCACTAAATTCATCATGTGGCCAGCCATGGGGCTTTTGTCTTTCAGCCCAAAACGACGCGCTTGGTGATTAAAATAAGCCCCAGAACCAGGAAGCAACTGAGCATCGGACGCGTGTGTACAAGATGGGCTCGTAGACAATCCTGATAATTCTGCTCTCATTTTCTTAAAAGTAAAGAATATGAAGTTATTACAGTTTTACGGGACAGCCAAAAAAAAAAAAAAAAAACAACACAAAAAAAACAACAACACAAAGAACAACGAAACAAAGTCAGTTTTCTTGTTAATCACTTTCAGCTTTTGGTCTCTCATGTGGAATTGTAAAAACTGCATTTACTGCACTTTTAAAAATGAGGGCAGAAGAGTGCAGAGCTGTCACTTTGTGGGATTCGAATGTCAGCCTCCAACTTTCCATGCATTTTTCTTTTTATTCAGTAAGAGTTTTACGGCACTTGCAACACAATTAAATCATATAACTGCCTTAGATCAGATGTATTACATGAGAGTAACAAAGAAAAAATGGAGGAGGAGAGAATAAGGACAACAGATGTTTGAAAGGAAAGAAGGAGCAACCGCTAACCACCCACCTTCAACTTTCTGGCACACTTTAGTGAGGTATAGTTTTAATGTTTTAGTAAGAGTTTTACGGCACTTGCAACACAATAAGGTCATATAAGAGCCGAAGATTAGAGGTGTTTCAAGAGAGTGACAAACACGAAAAAAGGAGGAGAGACAAGGACGATAGCTGTTTGATAGGAAAGACGAACAAAACCACACCAGAGCACCCGCCAAATACCAACTAGCTTTAATGTAAGTAACACAATTTCAAAACTTATTTTAGTTTCAGTAAGAGTTTTACGGCACTTGCAACACAATTATAACATATAGGTGGCGAAGATAAGAGGTGTTACAGGTAACAAACATAACAAAGGAGGAGGACACATAAGGCCGATATATGGTCGCTTTAAGGACAAGCGGGCTAACCCAGATTTCGGGAGTTCTCAGAAATCTTGACCCAAACCAAAAGTGGGAATTGCTCTACCTATATGAGAAGCTTGATTTCATTGGTGTGTATATATGTTTATAGAGAAAACACTCCTCGTCTTTTAAAGAAACTGAACAAAGGGCAAAAACGTTACCTTCGATGTTTCTCAAAACATCATAATTTTTCGGGATAGACCCCTTGTGCATAAAAGAGACCAAATCTTTGATATGAGAATGAAGGAGAAAACCAAACCACAGCACCCACAACTCATTGTCTTCCAACTCCAACAGATTATGACAATAATCTCTCTCTCTCCCTCTCTCTCGCTCTCTCTCTCTCTCATCCACCTCTCACCATTAAAAACATGTCCTGAAATTACGACGCAGTAGCTAGTAATATTTTATCTTACAACATCGACTGTTTTTGTAAATGCTGTCTCCCCCCGCCCCTCACTTCTCCCCACAACTTCCTCTCACGAACACACAAACACATTCCCACCTCTTCGCCCAAAACGTGCCTGTGACCTTGGATGACGACGCAGTTGCATCTCCTGATTCACACTGGCCGTCACTACTGACAGGCAATGCGGTCAGTAAAGTTGCGCCATAAACTGACTTGACCGATCGTAGTCCCCCCCCCTCTCTCTCCTCTCTCTCTCTCTCTCTCTCTCTCTCTCTCTCTCTCTCTCTCTCCACAGGGATCCCCATTTGGCTTGACACTATTATCCAGTCCGTTTTCTTAAAATCCACTGCCCCCCCCCCCTCGGGCATCACTCCAACGCGAAGACAAGAAGCCACGAGCAAAACACAGCGAAGGCGGGCCAGCCATTTCTGGGTTTTGTTTGGGGGGGGATTTTGGGTTTAAGGCAGGACAGGTCTCCCTCAGTCCAAGTGTTATGAGCTATTAACTCGACTTGGCAGCCGGGCATTTCCGTTCTCATCAAACTTTGCCCCGGGCACGACACTTCTGAAAAACAATCCTCCTTTGTTATTGAGGGACCCACGACAAAAGCGTACTGGATAACGGACAACGTTAGCAATGCTCGGCCTGGGCATGGGCAACACTGAGGGGGACACACGTCTCCATCCCAAGAACGGTTGAAAAGTAATTGAAAAAGTGTTGATGTTCTACGCCCATCCAGCCAACGGGTGGAGCTAGTAGTTATTTAAAGCCTTGGAAACTCAGGGTAAAACATATGCAGATACTCTAGCGTAAAATTCAAGTCAGTTTATTTTTAGTAAGAGTTTTACGGCACTTGCAACACAATAAGGTCATATAAGTGCCGAAGATTAGAGGGGTTACAAGAGAGTAAGAAACACACAAAAAAAGGAAGAAAGATCAGGACGATCGATGGTTGATAGGAAAGAAGGAGCAAACCCCACCAGAGCATTTGCGAACCATCCACTTAAAAAACAAACAAACAAAGCTAGAAAGCACAAGTCAGTATTGATATTCATCCCACTCTGATAAGAACGCACCCAAACTTTCATCTTCAGTGGGTTCACCGTAACAGCACACATATCTTTAAAATGTGGATATTTCTTACTCAATTAGTTTACTTTCATTTACTGCTCCAATCCCTCTCAAACACATCACATCACTACTTCCAAACACACACATTCAAGTTTTCTACAGACATCTATTCCACAGCATTCATTTTATTAACTACTCTAATCCCAACTTCTCTAAAACCCACAACACTTCATTCCTCTCCTCCTTCTCTCTCTCTCTCTCTCTCTTTCCCAAACACACACACAAACCCCTTACCTCCCAATACCTCACCACACAAAGGCTATTTCATTTCCATATTTTTTTGTTCACCAACTAATTAAACAAACTAATTTACTGGCTACCACTCCTCCCCCCTCTCCCCACCCCCAACCTCTCAATCAACTCTGCTCTCTCCTCACTCCATCTACTATAAACTCTGCTCCCCCTTCACTCCATCTACTATATCTAATTGGAAGCCTGGCATCTCATCAGCACAATGGCGTGGCTCGCTAGTCATGGACTCGCCCAGCGACAGCTAATTTAGTGAGCAGTAAGCTGCCACTCACTATCCCAACACAACTCGCTACCTCGGAATTACAAAGGAGGGAGGAAGGGGGTGTTGTTTGCTTCCCTTTCTATAGTACATGAAATTATTCATGTCCTATAGGCCCGCTCAGGAGCACCACCTCGAAGATAAATGGCACATGACAACAAAAGCAGTTATGTCACAAAAAAGTACAATTAAGTGTGTGTCTGCCACACAGACCTAACAACATGATTCTTATTTGTTGTTGTTGTTTTGGTAAATGTTTTACGGCGCTCGCAACTGAATAAGGTCAAATGAGCGCGCGGGACACATTAAACATTTTCAGTAGGGAGGAAATTATGAATTTTGCCCGGGTGGCAGCCGAAGCCAACTCTTATCGATTTTAGACCACCAAGGGACCTTTAACGTGTGCAAATTGCACACGGAACCTTCGAGATTTTTCGCCCTTGTTCGAGAAGG